GGTTCATAATATTCCAAGAGTGGGGCTGGTAGAACCCATGCAGTGTCTTAAAGGAGGTATATTCTATCCAAGTCAGCCAAGTGTGTAAGAACACCATCTCACTGTATGCCCGATGTCACAGATTAGATTTCCTGTCTGCGCCACGAGTCACACTCCACACTCAATTAATTTTGTTTCTACTGGTTTCCAGTATTCATTTTGTTCTTATCATGATGTTTTCACCTTTCCCGTTCAATCTAACCCACTTTGTTCTCTCTTTGGCTTATGATCTAGGCTTTCCTCATGATAATACTCTTTTCTCGACTGTAGTTCAATAACATACTGTAGGTTGTGACTTTTCAGGCTTGATCCGTCCCCAAGTGTTCCCTTTCTCTATTCTCTGTCTCTGTCTCTGTCTCTCTCTCTCTCTCTCTCTCATATCCTGACTCCATGGAGACAGCTTTCCATCTTCCCTGTCTGAGCCTTGCTGGAAATTCTGGTGATAATTGTAACCAATTAGGTATTAAAAGTTGTTTACTGAGCACCTACCATGTTCCAGTCCTCTCAACAGCCCCATGAGATAGATAATTATTATTACTCCATTTTTATAGCTGATAAAATAAGGCTCAGACTTGCAGAAGCTACTCAAAACAAATCTCAGGAGAAGAAAAAGAAACATTTAGTATATGGATAATATAATAAAAACTATTATTTATTGGGTGCTTTAAGTTGTGACCAAGAGGGGTGCCTGGGTGTCTCAGTCAGTTAAGTGTCTCACTTTGGCTCTGGTCATGATCTCATGGTTTGTGAGTTCAAGCCCCACACCCGGATCTCTGCTGTCAGGACAGAGCCCACTTCAGATCCTCTGCCCCCCTCTCTCTCTGCTCCTCCCCCACTTGCACTGCGTCTCTCTCAAAATAAATAAATAAGCTTTTTAAAATAGTTGTGACCGGGGCGCCTGGGTGGCGCAGTCGGTTGGGCGTCCGACTTCAGCCAGGTCACGATCTCGCGGTCCGTGAGTTCGAGCCCCGCGTCGGGCTCTGGGCTGATGGCTCAGAGCCTGGAGCCTGTTTCCGATTCTGTGTCTCCCTCTCTCTCTGCCCCTCGCCCGTTCATGCTCTGTCTCTCTCTGTCCCAAAAATAAATAAACGTTGAAAAAAAAAATTTTTTTAAATAGTTGTGACCAAGAAAAGAGAGAGTAGGGTGAAATACTTAAAGTTTTGAGAGAAAAAAAGAGCCAACCTAGAATTCTGTTCCCTGTGAGATTATCCTTCAAAAGTAAAGAAAAATAAAGACTTTCTCAGACAAAAATTGAAGGAATTTGTTGTCAATAGTCCTGCCTTGCAAGGAATATTGAAAGAGGTTTTTCAGAGAGAAGGAAAAATATATGTCAGAAACCTGGATTTACATAAAGAAAGGAAGATCATCAGAGACTAAGTGAAGATAAAATTAAAACTTCTCCTTTTTCATAATCTAACAGATTATAGTTTGTTGAAAATAATAATAGCAGCAATGTACCTGATTGTATATATGCTTATGTATGTTTATGTATGCATAAAATGAATGATAATAATGATACGAGGGACAGGAGGTAGAAACTAGAATTATTTTATTATAAGGTATTCATACCACCCATTTGAAATTGTATAGTGTTATTTGAAAGTGGACTTAGATTATTTCTAAATGTATATTTCAAACTCAAAGGCAACCACTAAAATTTTTTTAAAGAGGTATAATTGATGTGCAAAGAAAGGAGAGAAAATGGAATAATACAAAATGCTTGATTAAAACCACAAACACCAGACAATATGTGGAAGACAAAAACAGGAACAAGGGCAACAAATAGAAAATAGTACCAAATATGGTACATATTAATCCAACTACAGTAATAATCACTTTAAACATCAATAGCTTAAATACACCAATTAAAAGAGATTGTGAAAGTGTCAGAGTAGATCAAAAACCAAAACTCAATGTTTTCTATATGAAACATTTTAAACATAAGGACATACATAGATTAAAAGTAAACAGATGGGCGCGCCTGGGTGGCTCAGTCAGTTAAACATCAGACTCTTGATTTTGGCTCCGGTCATGATCTCACAATTCATGAGTTCAAGCCCCCATTGCTTAGAATTCTCCCTCTCCCTCCTTCTCTGTTATGAGAGATAAAGAGGAGCATTACATAATGATAAGAGAGTCAATTCTCCAAGAAGACATAACAATCTTCAATAGGCATGCACTTAACAACAGGGGATCATGATACATGAAGCAAAAACTGACAGAGCCCCAAGGAAAAATAGATGAATTCACTCTTATAGTTGGAGACATTTTTCCTCTCTGTAAAATAGGAGTAATACTAGTATGAGGATTCAATGAATTAACACATATAAAGCCCTTAAAGTAGTGTCTGACACATTGTAGGAACATGAGAAATCCTAGCTTTTATTATTACTATTATTAGTCTACCCAGAACATTATTATTTTCTGTGTGTGACACACAGATTACTGTACTAATCTGTCACTTTTGCTTTTCTTCTGGAAACCTGGTAAAAAGGGAGGTGAAGAGAAGTGTAGAGTTTTGTTTTTGTTGTTGTTTAAATCACAGAGGGAAGCCATGTAATCTTCCACTCTTACCCTCAGCATGACCCTTACTGAACCGAAGGGAAAAAGAAAATTTCTGAGAGAAGAGATAAATAAAATGTATTCCTCTTCACATTCTTCCTCTACCGTTTGGATCCACCATATTGGTGGGCATAGGGCAGGATTTAGGCCGCAGGGGAGATGGGATTCTTCCCCTGTCCATCACTCACGTTGCCTATTATCTAGCCTGGACAAAATACTATGAGCTAGTAGGGAAAGTGGCACATGAATTCATTTAAAAATTGGAAACCGAGTAAAGATACATTTGGAGGAAAAAATATAAAATAATAGGGGAACAATATATATATTTATAATAAAGGCTAGTAGGCAGTAGTTTTGGGTGTTGCTCTTGAAAGAAATTTTTGTTGTGTAAAAACTTCTGAGAACTTCAGTTCTAGAGGAACCCTGTTTTGTTGTTGTTGCACTCCAATTCCTGTGTACAAGGGTGCATTAGGTATAGATGCCAGTGCCCTTGTGATAAGAAGCAGGAGGGAGCTAACCTTTATTGAGTATCTACTAAGGAAAAAGGTGCCTAATTAAGTTAATAAAAATCCCTTGAACAAACCAGCAAGGTCAATTTTGTTTATTTTACATATGAGGAAATGAAGTGCAAAGAGATTCAAGTGAATTGCTGAAGTTTACATAGCAAGTAAATTGCATATATGCAATTCAAACCTGGCTCTATTTCCAAAGACTCTTTCTGATATGCCCACCCTATCATCATTTTTTTAACGTGCCTAAAGAGGAATTTGGGACCCCCCCCCCGCCGAGAAAGCCAGTACGTGGTATAAAATTGTACTTCTTCATACATGACTAGCCTTAGGATATAAGTTTTGCTTCCTGATGCCTGTATTTTTAAATACTGGTCCAAGTTCATCTCCATTCATAACTCTTTAGGTAGGTGGTACCGACACTGCTGAGACCATGCTTCTCAGGCATGCAGATTGGTAGGTCAAAAGGAACCTGGAGTTGGAATCAGACAGTCCTGAGTTCCAGAATTAGTTTCATAATTTGGTTGTCTACAACATCGGGGAAGTTTCTTAAGTTCTCTGAGCTTTGCTGCCCCCTTTAATTCTCTTTTCTATCTCTCTTCTTCCTAATCTCATTTGGGATACATAAGAGGCATCTGTTTTCTTACCTCTGGTCCATCTCTTGTGTGTGTTAAATATTGCCACCGTAATAATGTATAACGATCCTCGTCCAAACTGTGGCTTAACGTTATCATTAATTCTCATGAACCTGTAGGTTGGCTTGGCGTCTCGGGCTTCAGTGGTGTAGCAGCTGGGGAAGTTCTGCTGAATGGGTTTCCTTCTGGGGCCCAGGTTGAAGGGTGAACAGCTATCCTGAGGACTTTCTTCTCATGCTCATTGCAGAGGCACAGGAGGGCAAGCAAAAACATGTGAGTCCTCTTGAGTTATAGGGTCAGAACAGGCATACTGTTACTTCTGCCCTATTTTCTTGGCCACATCAAGTCACAAGGCCAAGCCCCAAATCAAGGAGTGACAATGTACCTTTTGCACTCATCAGTGACAAAAGTGTGGATGCAGGGGAAGGTGAAGGATTGGGGTTGATGAGTCAATCTGGCACCCTCTTTGAAACCATTTGAAACTTTCTTTATCTTTCTCAGGCCTATTATTCTACTTCATCAATTTCCTGACTTCCCATCTACAAGCCTTCTGTATCCACACTTACCAGCCATTTTCTCTTTTCTTCTATTCTCAGAATAAGATAATGCCATTCAAGGGTGCCTGGGTGGCCGAGTCAGTTAAGTGCCGAGTCTTGATCTCAGCTCAGGTCATGATCTCACAGTTTGTGAGTTTGAGCCCCATGTCGGGTGCATCTGATGGCACAGAGCCTGCTTGGGATTCTGTCTCTCCTCTCTCTGCCCCTCCCTCATTTATTTTCTTTCTCTCTGTCTCTGTCTCTTTCCCTCTCTTTCTCTCTCTCTCTTTCTCAAAATAAATAAATAAATAAACTTAAAAAAACATACTGCCATTCAACCTGTACTTTGAATTTCCTTCCCTTCTCATGCCTCTGGGAATCAATTATCTCTTCTTTTCCCCACATACTCAGACTTTTCTGTTTTCTCCTTCTTTTAAAAAGCCAATTTCCCAATCTTAAACAAAAAACAAAAACAAATAAAAAATTTATTTGACCCTTTATTTTTCCTTTCCTTCCCTTCTCATCCAAGCTTCTAGAAAGCGTTAATTTCCTTTTTTCATTGCATTCATTCCTCAGCATACTTAAAGCTGGCTTCTGCTTCCATCACTCTATGTTGAATAATGTTCTCTCAAATGTCAGTGTGGATTATTCCTTTCCTGAAACACGCTTCCTTTGGTTTACATAAAATTAATCTCTTCCTATACTCTTTTTATATCACTGTATGCTCTTCCTCAATTTCTTTCACTGAAACTTCTTCCTTGCCTGTGTTTAAAATGTTATTTCTATCAACAGACTAATAGATAAAGAAGATGTGGTATATACCATGGAATAGTACCCAGCCATAAAAAATAATGAAATCTTGCCGTTCTTGACAACATGAATGGGACTAGAGGGTATCACGCTAAGTGAAATAAGTCAGACAGAGAAGGCCAAATACTGTAGGATTTCACTTATGTGTGGAATATAAAAAACAAATTAAATTATACCAACTACAATAACAAAAAAAGAGAGAAACAGAGTCATAAAAATAGAAAACAAACTGGTGGTTGACAGAGGGAGTGGGGTGGGGGATGGAAAAATGGGTGAAGGAGATTAAGAGGTACAAACTTCCACTTATAAAATAAAAGTCACAGGGATGACAAGTACAGCATAGGGAATATAGTCAATGATATAGTAATATACTTCTTGTGAGTATTTTGTAGTATATATAATTGTTGGAGGTAATATAAAATAAAATGTTGTTTCCTAGAGGTTGGACCAGAGTCCTCATCATATTCATCATCTTTTCCACAAATCATCTATTCACCAGGTTTTGTCTATGTTTATCTGAATTTAAGATCTCTTTTCTAAACTCCAAGTATCTCCAACTGAATACATAGGTAACTGAAACAAAACTCAACCATTCTGAATTCACTGCTTCCTATGTAACACACACTGACTCTTACAGTTCCGAGAAGGTTAATGTTGCCAGTTTTTCTTGCTTAGTCTTCCAAATAAAACCTGATATTCGTCCTTCCTTCCTCTGTTTTCATCTCTCCATATCCAGCCAGTCACCACGTTAGATCAAATTGAAATCAATCCTTCACTACCCCTGCCACACTTCAGGTGCTTGTTATTTGGGGGGGGGGTGTTGTTTTTGTTTGTTGTTTTATTGTTTGGGACAGGGACTATTTCAGTAGCTTCTTAATTTCTCTCTCTCATTTTAGCCTTTAGGAGTAAAACTTTTATAACTAAGTGTATACCACAATATTTGACACACATTAGGTGTCCAGTGTGAGTTAGATCCCTCCTTCTCTCATTCTCAAAGCAAACTCATAGCACTAGGCTTGACCCAAAATGAAACTCTCTCTGTGCCTTGATGACTTGTTGATTCCTCTTTTGAGAAACAGCTCGTTTGGAAGTGAAGATTCGATTTGTTTCTGGCATCTCTGGTCTCCCATTTACTTTTTGGGCCCAGTCTCCTTTGCTTGGATCTCAGAATACTTAGTTTTCCGCTTCTCTTTATCTAGCTCTGTTCTTGGGAAAGGATATGATTAACACCGTCAGGAGGATTAAGCTTCAGGAGAGTAGATCTCAAAAATTTTCATTACCAAAAAAAATCACGTTGAGTTGATCTATGTCTTAATTGACCTTATTGTGGTAATCATTTTGCAATATACATATAACAAATCATCACGTTGTACACCTTAAACTTACATGTTATATGTCAATTATATCTCAATAAAGTTGGAAACATCAATGCTGTGTATAGCAAAGCAATGAGTTATTAGTTTTACTTGCCAGGGAATTTTCTTCATGGAAAAGAAATACATTAAGCATGACTTGTTTCAGAAGGATTAGTGTTTTAAAAGGCTCCAAAGTCTTAATTAAACTAAAGGAGAAATTCTCCATTAGAGGAGTTTGGGGACGCAGTCATTGGTGAATGGAATTGTTTGTGGATGATGTTGGGAGTTCCCTGAAATCATAGCCATGTCTGTAATCTGCTTCTACTCTCAGGCTGGCTCTGTACCTTGTTAAAGGTTACTGCTGTCAACACTGATTATTTAACAATCTTCTCCCCTGTTTGGAAAGCAAGGTAGATTACCATGGTACCTCAAGTGCCTTCTGCCATCAGGTTTGGATAGAGTTCATTTTCCTCCAATGGCTCCCAAATTGTTATTTTAATTAGTCCATTAATACCCATATCACTGTTGGTGGATTACAGTAAAATATCTTACTGACTGAAGAATTTTCAAAACAAATTGGAATGTGAAGGTGAATTTAATTGTAAATCTAGACTGTATGTGAATTAATTTGTACAATAATAGTGTTTAAAACAGTAATGTCAATTCTGAATATATAATCATGAAATTCAATGACCTTGGACAAAGATGATGTTGGAAAAATTAGGTTACATGAAGAAATAATAATGACTAGCGGATAAATTTATATGCTGCTAATTAGGGCTGATTTAAAATTTGAAATTCGAGGGGCGCCTGGGTGGCGCAGTCGGTTAAGCGTCCGACTTCAGCCAGGTCACGATCTCGCGGTCCGTGAGTTCGAGCCCCGCGTCGGGCTCTGGGCTGATGGCTCAGAGCCTGGAGCCTGTTTCCAATTCTGTGTCTCCCTCTCTCTCTGCCCCTCCCCCGTTCATGCTGTGTCTCTCTCTGTCCCAAAAATAAATAAAAAACGTTGAAAAAAAAATTTAAATAAATAAATAAATAAATAAAATTTGAAATTCAAAATGGCAGCACATAACATCGTTATCTTCATTTTGTTTTCTCAAATAAAAGAATAATTGAGAAGCCAGACTGATTTATGAAGCATGCTGAAATCATCGCTAACAGGCTGCTTATATTGTTTTCTTAAAAATCAAAAGACAGTATCTCCCCTATCATGAAACATATTTGGAATTGAATTTGTCCCATGGCTTGTTCTGTCTACTTTTTTCCATCAAGTTTTCATGAAATCATCTTCTCTTGTTTCATCCTCGGCCTCATTTTGTTGGCAGAGGTGGAAAAGAGAATCTTTGTTTGCTTTTTTTGTTTGTTTCAAGTTTTTATTTTAACTCCAGTTAGTTAACCTATAGTGTAACAATAGTTTCAGGAGTAGAATTTAGTGATTCATCACTTACATTCAACACCCAGGGCTCATCACAACAAGTGCCCTCCTTAACGCCCATCACCCATTTAGCCCATCCCCCCACCAGCAGCCCTCAGTTTATTCTCTATAGCTAAGAGTCTGTTTTATGGTTTGCAGCCCTCCAGCAGCCCTCAGTTTATTCTCTATAGTTAAGAGTCTGTTTTATGGTTTGCCTCTCTCTTTTTACCCCCTATGCTCATCTCTATTGTGTCTTAAATTCACTTCAAATATGAGTAAAATCCTATGGTATTTGTCTTTCTCTGACTGACTTATTTCACTTAGGATGATACTGTCTAGCTCCATCCATGTTGTTGTAAATGGGAGGATTTCATTCTTTTTGATTGCCAAGTTATATGTGTGTGTGTGTGTGTGTGTGTATATATATAGATATACACACACACACACACACACACACACACACATGTACCTATATATGTATATACCACATCTTCTTTATCCATTCATCAGTCGATGGACATTTGGGCTCTTTCCATAATTCGGCTATTGTAATAATGCTGCTATAAACATCGTGGTGCATGTATCCCTTTGAATCAGTACTGTTGTATTCTTTGGGCAAATAACCTGGTAGTGCAATTTTTGGATCATAGGGTAGTTTGAACAAAGATACAAAGTTACTCTGTGAAAATTCATATCAAGTCAATCTTTATACAAGCAAATCAGTTTCCTTACCTCAAAAGGATAACTTACTCGGTTAGTGGCAGAGTTAAAATTAGGTAACCAAGTTTGATCACCCACTTCAAATACTTTTTCATGTAAATTTCTATCTCTTTTTCTTTTCTGGGATTCCAAAGAAACATGTATCATAAGACTTGAAATTGGCCCTAACTCATATGTCTCTGTTCAGTTTTTCATCTTTTTTTCTTCTCTGGGCTTTAGTTTGTATAGTTTCTATTGCTACGCCATCTTTTTTACTGATCTTTATTTCTGCAGTTTCTAATTCATTATTAATGCCATCTAGTGTATTTTTTAATTTCATATATTGTTTTTCATATCTGGAAGTTCCACTTGGTTCTTATTTATAGTTTTAATATGTCTCTACAACTCTCAAAGTCATAGGACTACCTATATAATCTTGTATTTCAGTTTAACTATTAGTTACAAGGTGTTTTGTACTAAGTTTTGTATTCATTTTTAAGTTTGGATCTTAGTAATCATTTTACCAAAAGAGCCTAGTTAGATCTCCCTGGTTAACTCATATCCTTCCTAGCATTTGTAATTTTCCTTCATAGCACTCATAAGTACTGTAATAATATACATTTGGGTACAATTCATTTAATATCTATCTTGTTAAGTAGACTGTATGGACATGTCTCTTTTTGTTTAGTGGTATATCTTCAGCACTAGGACATTGTAGTGCCCGACATATTGTTTGCACTCGAATATTTCAGCAATGCTTCCAGGAAACTGAAAGACTTAGGATGTATACTCAAAAAGTGTCCATTTGAAGCCTTGAGATTTAAACAAAAAAGTCTCCAGAGCTAATGGTGTATAACTTTGCCTATAGTAATCAGGACCATCGTGGATCATAAAGTTTATTTTTATAACTTTCAGAGCTTTAAAATTATAATTTAAAAGGTATTATAAGGCATATCTCTAACTTATTTACTGATTTTGTTGTTTGTGAAATATATTCCTCTCAATTAAGGCAAACAGCCATAACATACTGTATAATGTATCAATAATCATGTTCTCCAGTGATCTTTGAAGAATACACAGAATCTTAATTTTCTCTCATTTTAAACGGGGAAAAGTATAACTTTCTGTTCAGGAAATCAATAAATGTATTATACCACCTAATTAGTTTGTGTTTTAGTTGACCAGGCCAAAGTTTAAGCTTTAGGAATTGCCAGTAAAGCCATTTTTATTTTATTTTATTTTATTTTTATTTTTAGTAAAGCCATTTTTATAATGATGCCAGTGCCATTACCACCACCCAACCTTCAGTGCTACTTACTAAATATTTGTTAATGATCAAGTCAGTAATATAGCTATATATACTATCTTGAATCATTAAAACATTCCTACCTGATTAATATTGTTAGGCCCATTTTTGTATTTATGGTGAATGAGACTTAGGGCGGCCAGTCACTTACCCAAGATCACACAGCTGGTAAGTGTCCAAGTGGGTATTTAAGTCCATGACCAGGGCTCACAAGAATTGGCTTTGATTTTACTCTGGTAACATGTACATAACATAAAATTTTAACCATCTTAAAGTGTACAATTCAGTGATATCTGGTATGTTTAGAATGTTGTACAACCATCACTACTATTTAGTTCCAGAACATTCTCATCACCTCAAAATAAAATCCAATGCTCATTTAGCCGTCATTTCTCATTCCCTCTCAACTGATTTTGGAGTATTGATTATGGACCCTGAATTCTGCTACACTGTTTATTTGTTTATTTTAAAGGATTGTCTGCATATGATCATGTCATCTTTGAACAGAACTAGTTTGGATGACTTCCTTTCCAGTTTGGATGGCTTTCTATTCCTTGCCTAACTTCTCTACCTAGAACTACCTATACAGTGTTGAATAGCAGTAGTGAAAACTGGCGTCCTTGTATTGCACCGATCTTAGGGGGAATACTTTCAGTCCTTCACTCTTGAGTCTGACATTATATGTGAGTTTTCCACATTGTCTTTATCATGGTGAGAAAGTACCCTTTTGTTCGTAATTTGCTGAGTATTTGTGTTTTGAAAGAAGGTTCAAATTGGCAAAATGCTTTCTCTGCATCGGTTGAGATGACCATGCGTTTTTCATTTACTCAATTGACACAGCCTATTGAATTGAATAATTTTTATATTTTTTAAATATGAAATACATCACTTTCATTCTCACGATAAACCCTGGTTTGACATGTTGTATAATCCTTTTGATATGCTGCTGGATTTGGTTTGCTAGTATTTTCTTGAGGAAATTTGTATCTCTATGCATAAGGGATATTGGCCTCAAGTGGGTTTTGTCTGTTTGTCTTTGCTATGATGTGTTTGTCTGGCTTTTGTATGAGGGTAATGATGGCATCACAGAATGTGGGAAACTAAAGGCCTAAGAACCAGAACCCATGAAAGTCCTGAGACCTAAGACACAAGGTCCAAGGCCTGAGATAAAAACCTTAGCTTAAAGATCTCTGATCCAAGGATGGAAGGGCCCAAACATACATAAAGGCCCAGGACTCCAGCCACTTTAGATGGACAGAAGGCCCAAGAGAGAAAGATACCTCAAGGATAAATGGGGTGGGAAGCTGGAAGCCCATGACCCAGAATCCAGAAAGGATAGAAGCCCCAAGACCAAAGGAAATCCCAAGATTAGAATGCTAAGCCCCAGATTTTTTCCATTGCTGCCCTCTCTACTTGTGGACATTTTCCATTCTCCCTTGTCAGTTCTCATGTTTCCATTTAAGCCCACTTCCTTTAAGATGGTCCTGTTTGATGTTGCTGTTACTTTAAGGAACTGTATCTTTAGATTGGCAATATTATACCCGGGCCAGTCTGAAGCCAATTTTTATCACAGTGTTGAGCCATTTATTGAGTGTTTGTTTTTTACGTTTCCATTTCTCTTCACCTCCATTCCACTTGAGATGGACATATAGGTAACATTGTATTCCAGTCCTCCCTTTTCCTTAGAAACTCTAGACTGATGAGAAAAGGAAAGCATCAGGCTGGTGAGGGGTGTGGAGGAAGAGATAGGCTATCTAGAGAAAATGTGAAGAGACGTTCCAGGCCAATGAGAAGAATTAGACAAGTAATACTCAGATGGGCCAGCCTGATGAGAAGTGCCAGCCAGCTACACCTTATTTCTTTGGGCTTGGTTTCTGGCATCCTCAGACTACCACTACTGAGAAAGAATAAAAGAACAATGTTATCATCATCTGACTTTTATGGCATAAATGAAATTGTGAACTCATCCATTTGTAAAGGCAATGACTTCATCTCTACCCTTTTATCTAAAAGGAAATCTATGCCAAATGCTCTGATAAATGGGAAGATATACTTTGACTTGTGAACTGATGTGAAATGCAGAATCTTTGAGCTTTGAGTGTTTTGAAGATTGAAAAATCTTGCTCAGCATGGATGACCACCAAAAAGCAATCTAAAGCCATCTACATACCACAACTGAGATAAATTTGGGAATGTGTTGCCTAATGTCAAATAAAATGTACTGTTTGGAAAAAAACAATGAGTTGGGAAGTATTTACTTCTACTTTTTGGAAGAGTTTGAGAAATATTGGTGTTAATACTTGAAAATTTTGTAGAATACTCATTAGTAAAACCATCTGGTCCTGGGCTTTTCTTGTGTGCTGTTTGATTACTGATTCAATCTCTGTATATTACACATCTATTCAAATTTTCTTTTTCTTCTTGAGTCGATTTTAGTAAGTTGTGTGTTTTAGAATTTTGAGTCATCCCTCTTTTTCTCTTAGACAGTCTTGATAATGATTTGTCAATTTTGTTCATCTTTTCCTTGAACAAACTTTTGGTTTAATTAACTTTCTCTATTGTGTTTCCGTTCCTTATCCCATTACTCTCTGCACTAATCTTTATTATTTTCTTCCTTTGGCCATTTTTGAGTTTAGTTTGCTCTTCCCTTTTGAGTCTCTCAAGGAGTAAAGTGAGGCTGAAAGTATGCATTTATAGCTGTAAGTTTCCCTTTGAGCACTGCTTTCTCTGCTGCACATGAATTTCGGTATATTGGATTTTCATTTTCATTCGTCTCAAAATATTTTCTAGTGTCTCTTGTGATTTCTTCTTTGACCTATTGGTTATTTAAGAATGTGTTGACTGATTTCTATACATTCCTAAATTTTTCAGTTTTCCATCGGCTATGGAAAGGATAGTTTGTATGATCTCAATCCTTTAAGATTTATTTGGACTTTATAATCTAAAATAGTCTATCTTGGAGAATGTTTTGTGTACCCTTGAGAAAAATATGTATTCTGTTCTTGTTGGGTGGAATGTTCTGCGTATTTCTATTAGGTATAATTGGTTTATTTTGCTGTTCAAATCCTCTATTCCCTTACTGATCTTCTGTTAGTTGTTCTGTCCATTATTGAAAATGGAGTATTGAAGTCTGCACATATTGTTGTACAACTTTCTGTTTACCCCTTCAATGCTGTCATTCTTGCCTCATCTATGTTGGGGCTTTCCGGTCACGGGTGTGTGTATTTATAACTATATGTCTTCTTGATGGATTGATCTTCTTATTGATATATAATATCCTTCATTGTCTCTTGTAACAATTTTTTACTTAAATTGCATTTTGTCTGATATTAATATAGCCATCCCATCTCTCTTTTATTTACGATATGCTTGAGGTATAATTTTTATTTTGTTTACTTTCATCCTATTTGTGTCTTTCAGTCTAAATTGAGTATCATGTAGTTAGCATGCAGATAGATCTTTTTGCATTCCTTCTGCCAATCTCTGTCCTCTAATGGGAAAATGAATCATGTCTACATTTAAAGTAATTACTAGTAAGGAATTACTTTTGCCAATTTGCTTTTTGTTTTCTGTACCCTTTATACATTTTTGTCCCTCAATTCCTCCATTGCAGCCTTCGTTTGTATTTAATTGACTTTCATAGTGTACTGTTTTTATTATCTTCCCAAGTATATTAAAAGATGTTCAATATCACTAATTATCAAAGAATTGCAAATATCACTTCACACCTGTTAAGATGACTATTATCAAAATGTCAAAAGGTGGTAAGTGTTGGCGAGGATGTGGAGAAAAGAGAACCCTTGGGTGCTGTTGGTGGGAATGTAAACTGGTACAGCCATTATAGAAAACAGTATGGAGGTTACCCAAAAATTTGAAAATAGAACTACCTTTTGATCCAGCAACTCACTTCTCAGTATATATCCAAAGGAAATAAAATCACTATCTCAAAGAGATATCTGCACTCCCATGTTTATTGCAGCATTATTCCCAGTAACCAAGACATGGAAACAACTTAAGCGTCTGGTAACAGATGAATGAATGGATAAAGACAATGTGGTATAGATATAAATGGGATATGATTTAGTCATAAAAAAAGAAGTAAATCCTGCCATTTGTGACAACACGGATGAATTCTGGAGACCATTATGCTAAGTGAAATAAGCCAGACACAGAAAGACAAATACTGTGTGATCTCACTTCTATGTGGAATGTAAATGAAATAAAATAAAATAAAATAAAATAAAGCTGAATTCATAGAGAGTAGAATGGTAGTTACCAGAAGCTGGGGGTTGGTGGAAAAGGGAAGATATAAAAAAAAAAAAAAGTAGAATAGTGGTTGCTGGGGATCAGGGGGAGAAAGTCATAAAGAGTTATTGTTTTAGAAAAGTTCAGAGATTTGGTTTTGCAAAATGAAAAAAGTTCTGGAGATGGATGGCAGTGATGTTTGCACAACAATATGATGCACTAAACATCACTAAACTGTATACTTCAAAATAGTTAAGATAGTATATTTTATATTATGTGCATTTTACCACAATAAAAAAAATCTTAAAAAGAAATTTTTTACCTTTCGTCCAGTTTGTCAAATTTATTGTCCTAAAATTATTAATAGTATTTCCTCTTACCTCTTTAATTTTGTAGAATTTGTAGTAATGGCCGCCCTTTTGTTCTTGATACTGGTAATTTGTGTTTTCTTTCCTTATCTTTTTCAATCCAACAAGAGGCTTATTGATTTTATTGGTATTTTCAAAAAAATTAGATTTCGGTGTCATCAATTTTTGTCCATTATTTTTCAATTAATATTTATTTGATTTTGGCTTTTTTTCAATGATCTCTTTCTATCACTTCACTTTGGCTTTAATTTCCTCTTCCTTATTTAAAAAAAGATGTTTTTAGGTGGGAACTCAAATCGCTGATATTAGATATTCCTTATTTTCCAATATAATTATTGGAAGCTATAATTTTCCAAGTACTGCTTTAACTCTGCCCCACAAAGGTTAATATAATGTATTTTTATTATAACTCCTTCAAAACAGTGTCTAAATTCTCTTGGGATATTTTCTTTGTCTCTTGTATTATTTAGAAGTGCATTGTTTATTTTCCGTATATAGTTGGTATTTTTCTAGTTATGTTATTATTATTGATTTCTGATATCATTTACTTGTGCCAAGAGAACAGATTCTGTATTACTTAAATCTTTTTGAAGTTATTTAGACTTGTTTTATAACTGATCATTTGATCGATTTTGGCTTAAATGACAGGTGCCCTTAAAAAGAACGTGTTATTCTGCCACTGCTGGGCAGTGCTCTGTAAATATCGACGAAGTCAATGTGTTTGAGAGTGTTGTACAGAACTTTTAAGACATTACTCTTCTGTTGTTTGTTTAGTTGTTCTAGCAAATTCCAGGAGATGAGTGTGTGAAGATATCCAACCACGAATGCTGAAATGTATGAGTATTTCTTACTAATTTCTGTCAATGTTTCCTTCCCATGTTTTGAAACTTTGTCAATAGATTCACAGTCATCTATTATAGTTATATCTTCCTAGTGAACTGGCACTTCTCTTATTATGAAATACTTCTCTTTTTTCTGGTACTACTTTTTATCTTGAGATCTATTTTATCTGATACTAATGTAGCCACCCCATCCTTCTTATCCTTATTTTTTGCATAGTCTATCTTTTCCCATCCATTTACTTTCATTCTGTATTTGTCTGTCTTTACATGTAAAATGTGTCTCCTTTAGAAAATATGTAAATGTGTCTTTAAAAAAATCTGTTTTCCCAGTTTTCCTTTCAATTAGGGTGTTTAGTCTATGAATATTTGATGTAACTGTTGATATTGGTGAATGTTATAGGTTAAATTTTGTCCCCTCAAAATTCATATATTGAATTCCTAACACCCAATACCTCAAAATGTGACTGTATTTGAAGACAGGGTCTTCCTAGAAAGAAAAAGTTAGATCTTTTCTTCCTAGAAAGAAAAGTTAAATCTCAGTTAAAATGAGATCATTGGGATGGGTTCGAATCTCACATGACTAGAATCCTTTTCAGAAGGAAGTGACGAGGCAGGCGTGCACAGAGGGAAACCACATGAACACACAGGGAAGAGACACCATTGGCAAGTAAAGGAGAGAAACCTTGGAACAAACAACCTGCTGACATCTTGATCTCAGACTTCTCATCTCCAGAACAGTGAGAAAATACGTTTCTGTTGTTTTAGCTGCTGAGTCTGTGCTACTTTGCTATGGCAGCCCCAGAAAACTAATAGTGAGTCCGGATCTACTCATTTCCTTTTATTTCATTCTTTTGTTTGTTTTGGTGTTCTTTGCTTTATTGTCCCTCAGTTACCTTTTTCCTGACTTTTAATGAGATTAACTATATTTTCAGGATTGTATTTGACTTTTCTTACTGGGTTTTAGCTAGCTTACTGGCATATTTTTAGTTTCTTCTAGAAATTTCCTTATACATCCTTCACTTTTCACAATTCATTTTCAGTTAATATTATACCACTTTACATAAAATATAAAAACATTCCAAGAGTCAAGGGCCACATACACCACTCCTTCCTTTATTCTAGTGTTATATATGTTATTCTAGAGTTATCGTATGTAAAATCTACTTACATTAAACACCACAAGGCAATGCTATATATTTTTCTTTCAATAGTTATATATATCATAAAGAGTTAAGAGGAGAAGAAAAGCCAGAATAATAGTCTTTTGAATGTACTTTTGACATTTACCATTAAAGATGTTCTTTATTCTTTTTTGTTTTTTTTTTTTTTTGAAGTTGATACTTTCCATCTGGTATAATTTCCCTTTAGCCTGAAGAATTTTCACTGGTATTTCTCTTAGTAAAGATCTGCTAGTGTTGAATTCTTTTTGTTTTCTTTTCTTAGAAAGTCCCTTTATTTTGCTTTCATTATCGAAAGATATTTTTGCTGAATATAGAATTTTATACCAACAATTTTTTTCCTTTCAGTATTTTAAAAGATGTTCCATCTGTTCTAGACGCCATTGTTTCTGATCAGAAGTCAGTTTTTAATCAGATCATTGTTCCCTTGTATGTAATTCATCATTTTTCTTTTGCTGTTTTCAAGCTTTGTTGTTGTAATTAGTTTTCAACTGTAAGACTGTTATGTGTTTTGGCATGGGCTTCTTCATGTTTATTCTCCTTTTTTTTTCTTGAAGCATCCTGTATATGCAAAATTTTTCTGTCAGCCTTTATTTCTTCAAGTAATTTTTTCTGTCTCATTCTCTTTCCTTTGTTCTGGAGTGTCAGTTACACATATGCTGGAAAGTTCAGTATTATCCATTAGTTAACTGAGCTTCTGTTTGTTTATTTTTATAACTTTTCTTTTTCTTTATCCATATTGAATATGTTTTTCCTTTTTTCGATGGTTAAAATCACATGTATTTTGCATCTATTTGGAATTTTAAATTATGACATATTAAACATAAAATCCATCATAAAAATGAATAAAGAAGAGAAACATTTTATTAAGTATTCTAAGCAGTCTGTTGTTACACAAGTATTTGTTATTCAGAGCATTCCTAATAATACATTTTCCTTTTTTTTCAAGGTTTTCGATTTTTTAATTGAAGTATAATTAACATAAAGTATTATATTAGCTTCAGGTGTATGATATAATGATTCAACAATTCTATACATCACTCAGTGCTCATCATGATAAGTAGACTCTTAATCCCCTGCATCTGTTTCCCCCACCCCCACCCACCACCACCAGGCAACTAGCAGTTTGTTCTCTGAATTTAGGACTCTGGTTTTTTGTTTGTCTCTTTTTTTGCTTGTTTTTTCATGTGTTTTGTTTCTTCAGTTTCCCATGTGAGTGAAATATGGTATTTGTCTTTAACTGGCTGACTTATTTCACTTAATATTAATATTAACATTTCACTCGATATTCACCTTTAGATCCATCCATGTTGTTGTAAATGGCAAGATCTCCTTCGTTTTTATGGCTGAATAATATTCCACTGTACATATACCTCATCTTCATCCATCCATCTCTGGTGGGCATTCGGGTTGCTTCTGTATCTTGGCTATTGTAAATAATACTGCAATAAACATAGGGGTGTATATATCTTTTTCAATTAATATTTTGTATTCATGGGGTAAATACCCAGTAGTGGAATTACTGGATCCTGTGGTAATTCTACTTTTAATTTTTTGAGGAACCTCCATACTGTTTTCTACCCTGGCCTCATTGAATAATTTCTACTGATTTATTTTATGGTTCACATATACCTTGCTGTCATCTCCATTTAGCTGTCCAATCCATCAAGTGAATTTTTCGTGTTTATTTATTTTTGAGAGAGAGGGAGACAGAGCGCGAGCAGGGGAGGGGCAGAGAGAGAGGGAGACACAGAATCTGAAGCAGGTTCCAGGCTCCAAGCTGTCAGCACAGAGCCTAATGCAGGGCTCGAGCCCACGAACTGTGAGGTCATGACCTGAGCCAAAGTCAGATGCCCAACTGATTGAGCCACCCAGGCGCCCCCCCATCAAGTGAATTTTTAAAATTTCAGGTTCTCCGGCCAGAAAGAACAGACAAGACCAAAAAAGACCCAAAAAAAGTGATTTTTCCACTAGTGCCCCCACCACTTTATGCATCATACAAGCAGCTGCACTTAAGCTCAGGATAAAGTCCACAACAAAAGCAGGAACTTCATGTAGCTACCTACCTCCCCCTCTTCTGAGAATATACTCCTTACCAGAATCTGCTTCTGTGGACACTCCTGTACCTTCATGCAGTTGCTTTCTATATTAGGTAGAGATTTTATAATTATTTTATGCAGGGGACTTCAGGAGTCTCTGAGCCTGTCATCAGAGAAATCTGATGGCTTTTATTTGACTAAAGCGTGGGGTTTGAGTGGGTAGTGGTGATAAACCAGGAATATGCAGTTGAAGTTTGATTGTGAAAATTCCTTGAATATCAGGTTGAAGAGTTTGTGCTTAATTTGGAAAGTAACAAGGAGTAATCAGAGCACGGGAAGCTGGAATTATATTCTTTAAACATACCTACCTTAGTAAGCTTGGGATGATAAAATACCATCGACTGGGTGGCTTATAAACAACAGAAGTGTATTGCCCACAGTTCTGGAGGCTGGAAGCTCAAAATCAGGTGGCCAACATGGTCGGGTTCTATAGAGAACTGCTCATTTCTCCTCACAGCCTTACATGGGGATATCAGAGTGCCCTAGCCTCTCCTTACAAGGGCACTAATCCCATTCAATTCCACCCCTATTAAATAATTCCCTTGCAAAGGCCCCACCTCCAAATACCATCACATTGGAAGGGTTTCAACATAAGAATTTGGGTGGGGGGATGGCACAAACATTCAGTCCAGACAATACCTGTATGTTGAACTTAATTAAAGTAGTACACAGAAAGAAAAAAAGAACATTTGTGTAAATAGATACGTTTGGAAAAAGTTTCTGTACTGATTACACACCTTTCCGCAAAGTGTGTGAAGAGATTTCAAAGAGAAACGCAGAGGAATTACAAAACACACTCTCCTTCTTGCTAGGGTAACCAAATCAGAGGTGGGAGCAACAGGTAGCCAGCACATTGAAATTCAGTAACTGACTTTCAGTTTCACAGACCATAATTCTGAACTGACAGGAAGCAACAGGGCTCAAACTACGGCCCTTTAGTGAAGATGGACCAGTAATTATGTGGGGTGCCACACGTTCCCCTTTTGTTTGCTAAATAATGGGATCCTCCAGGGTGCTTTCATAATTACATCCTAGTCACTCACTCAATGCACTGCCCTAGCTGCCGACATGGAATGCTTTGAGTTGTTTCTAGCCATGTAAATGAAAATGATGGAAGAAAATAATTACCCTAAATTGTCTGAAACCCTCAGGAAAAATTAGTTTTATTAACCTGATGCCTGAGTCATCACAGGTACTGTTTTTGAAAAATGTCCTGCAGTTTGGTTTCATGAAAGAGCCTTCTTTTTGTAGTTTATTAATTATCAGCAGGGTAACCAATGCTGTGTCGCAAGGGGCCACCGAAGAAAGAGGTTTGGGAGAAAAAGTAATTTTATGATTCGCTTTTTATTCTTCCTAATAATCTCTTCCATTAGTAAAACTCCCAAGGATAGCAATGGCACACAAGTGTTTGAAGAGGCAGTGGAAGCTGAAATCAGCTAAAAGAGTAGTTTGTCTGCTGCATTTAAGATGGAACAGAGGCAGCAGTGCATTGAGGTTAGTGTGAAGGTGAAAAGGAAAAAAAATAATAGGATACAATTGAAAAATAGATTTCTTTGTGGTTACCACCATGGAATGGGAACAATTACTACCTTGCAAAGAGATTTTTACTTTATCACTTCTGCTCACCTTAGGGGACAATGAAGGTAGGTTAACATGGTCTACAGGGCCTTAGGAAAGCATTTATAGTCATGAGATTGCATTTACTTTTATAGAAGTTAGACCTTAATTTACCCTGGATTCAGTTATCCTTCACTATAGCCGGGAAAATCTAAAATATGTCTCTTGCTCTTGTCCTCCTCTTGAACACTATCACAGTCTTCTGTTGGATTTGTACCCCTGTCTTCCTCTTAAAAATAGCTTTACAGTTTTTTTTTCAGAAGTGGTACATCATATATTTTCTAGAAGACCAATCTTAATTTGAATGCCGATGCAATATTTATATATGTTCTCTAATGTTCATCTAACAATGAATTGTGTTGGAGAAACGCAACACTTAAAACAGTCCTAGAGGGGCCAAGATGGCAGAACAGCATGGAAGTTTTTTTGCATCTCTCATCCCTGAAATACAGCCAGATCAACATTAAACCATCCTGCACACCTAGAAAACTGACTTGAGGATTAACACAACAATCTGCACGACCTGAACCAGAGAACTCAGCAGGTATGCCACATGGAGAGGTGAACTGGGGGAGAAAGCTACAGAGGGCAGGGAGCTGTTTTTGCTTGTGGAGAGAGGATGGAAACAGGGAGAGAGTACAGAAAACATCCCTCCCCCCCCCCCCACCCTAAAGAAGCTGGAGACAAAAGAAAAGAAAGAGTATGCAAGGGACCGAACAAAAAAGGGAGAAAGGAGAAAGGAGAGGGTTTGAATTCCATTAAGACTCTATAAACAGGGGAGCGCAGAGTCTGAAACTCCACAGCTCAATACCTGGTCGTGCTCTGGTGGGAAGGATGAGTCTCCAGGAACAGAGTGAGGTCCTCGGGACACACAGAGAGAGGTGGCTCACCTGCTGGGAGGACATTTGGTAGGACTGTGCAGCCTCCCCAAGGGCGAAGGTCCCAGCTGACCCCAGAGAACAACCACATTCGCTGGTGCTAGAACAAAGAAGTCTGGCACCAGATGTGTGTTGTGATTTTCCATAAGCCCTGAAATGCTGCTGCTACACGATCGTGTGAAATTCTTCAGGGGTGGGCTGGCACCCAGCCACAGTCTCTGGGCATCGGCAGCAGCAGTCTCCTGAACGTTCCTGGGGGCAGGCCGGCACCTGGCCATTGCTAGGTGAGACCCTCCCCCAGAAGGTCTGAGGGGCTCAAAGCCATAGTCCCTCAGAAGTGAGGAGTTGGGAAACACAAACGCATCTCAGATAAAACAAAGGAGGGAGGTGCTGCCTGGCAACCTGACA